ACTCAATAAAACACATTTCTAGGAGGGCTTACATCTCGTATATATATCATAATGAACTTGATATTGAGAATAGTACCAAAGATAGAAGATCTGCTTCATATCTCGATCTTTTCCTCGATATTGAAACAGATAGACGACTTCAAACAAGAATCCTTGACAAAAGTCTTGGATTTTAACTTTAAAATTATCAACTTCCAATTTTTCAGCAGTCTCATACACTTTGCTCCATTGTATGGCGTTTCCACATCCGAGTTAATACGTTAAAAATTCAAATAGCAAAAATACCGAAATCCAAGGAAAATTCCAAAACGGAAAGTCCTTTATCAAATGGCAAAATCAAAAGCTAAAACACATCAAACGAATGGAAAACAACGGTCATATTCCTGACTTGGAACATGCATTTTCTCATGTGGAAAATGGCGGATTAAAGCTGGTCTTATAGCTAGCTAAACCTTTTAAGTTAAGTGCGTGCATGTTCACACAACACGGACTTCATCAACAGGGTTGTGCTTCTTACACAAAAATATGTTCCAACAGCTTTATGAGGAAGTACGACTGAAATTGACAATACATAAGTTTTACGGTCACCATCACGAATTGCTTGCCGATACGATGTGTCGGTGTCTCAACTCACTAACGACATGTTTTCGTGGTCTTAGCTAGATCTTTAGACTTCAGAAAAATCGCCTGATTGTGTCGTATTCCCGATTGTGAAATTATGACATTGTGTGTATTCGCCTGAAGGGTGATGCATGCATAACAGTAGACGCCTACCCTGTCGACGCACCAGGTCTCGCTCCTTTGTGAGGTCATGCGATTCCCTCAGTGTTTCCTTGAGTTGTCTTTTTTTAATAGATTTACATGATTTGAACATCAGTAAACTACTTATTTACATATCAAGCTTGCGAATTGTTCTTGTTGACTGATTTACTCGGAATCATTTAAGTTGGAATTTTATTTCTGTGATCAATACTTATCTTTCTGGTTGACCCGACTATTCCAATTCGACAAATTCATTATAAAATTTTCTGTTTCGTCATATTAGCCTATCTTTATACATTTGAACTCAACTTGGCCAGTGTATACCCATCATACACCTCAATATTCCGATAAATGTATATTTAACATTTAGGCAATTGAGGACATACGTTTCATGCCGATATATCTATTTATGAATGTTCCCTTTGCTTTCTACTTATTCACTTGTACAAAGGCACGCATGTACAACCAATGTTATTTCAAATTTACAAACGCAACGTTTTGATTTTTTTCTTACAAAGATCAGGCATACCAAAATATGAATCAAAACCCATTTTGGAACATGCTACATCTGCAGCTTTTTTGTATCATAAAGCTGTGCATTCACAACTTAAATATGTTTGTCTAACACCAGATTAAGGGGTTGAGGAAAAAACAAAATCCGAATAACGAAAGCTATATTTTTAGCTCACCTGGCCCGAAGGGCCAAATGAGCTTTTGTCATCACTTGGCGTCCGTCGTCCGTCGTCGTCGTTGTTAACTTTTTACATTTTTAACTTCTTCTAGAGAACCACGGAATGGAATGAAACCAAACATTGCATGAATATTCCTGATGAGGTGCTGACCAAGTGTTGTTAATTTGAAGCCGATCCATCATCCAAGATGGCCGCCAGAGGGGGACTTACTTTAACTTAGGACCCTATGGGAAATACATACAAATGTCTTCTTTTAGAGAACCACTAAATGGAATGAAATAAAATATGGCATGAATGTTTCTTATGAGGTGCTGACCAAGTGTTCTAACTTTGTAGGCGATCCATCATCCAAGATGGCTGCCAGCGGGGGACTTTGTTTAACATAGGACCCTATGGACAATACATACAAATGTTTTCTTTTAGAGAACCTCTGAATGGAATGTAACCAAACATGGCATGAATGTTCTTTTTGAGATGCTAACCAAGTGTTGTTACTTTGAGGCCGATCAATCATCCAAGATGGCTGCCAGAGAGGGACTTAATTTAACATAGGACCCTATGGGAAATGCATACAAATGTCTTCTTTTAGAGAACCACTACATGGAATGAATTAAATATTGCAGGAATGTTTCTTATGAGGTGCTGACCAAGTGTTGTAAATTTGTAGGCGATCAATTATCCAAGATGGCTCTTTAGAGCATCTAGTTTTCTTGTCCCCTTTGTATCGTCTGCCTCTTTATTGTCACAAACTAAAGATATATACATCATTAAATAAATTCTACAATATTTTATCCCACTGAATGTCATAATTAAATACAACCACATGGTCATAACAAGGCAAATCCTGATTTCAAATATAATTATTGCTGACAAATGGTTTCTAACTACATGACTGAAAGTTTATATATTTTCTAATCAGGGAAAACAAGCACTTTTACACTAGAAAGTTATGTAAGATATTGAATGATTGAAATATACAATTATTGATAGAATATCAGTTTTTCTCTCTTTCTGTCATGAATATTATACACTTATTTGTCTTTATGTGCAGCCTAATAAGTGACGCATGATATGATTTTCGATACTTAGAAATGTAACAAATCTTTAAGATACATACAACAAAAGATACATTAAGGTAAATGTACGTTATAACCTTTCAGCAATATATATACATAGCAACAATAATTGATTTCACCCACACCATAGCACAATGACCATTTGTGATCGTAGAAAGTAATTATTATAGATGGTATATTTCTATATGTAATATTGCTTTTACATTAGTGCAGTTAGTGTTTGTAATTAAACGTCCTATTGTTACATGAATTAAACCAGACAGGATGTTTACAAGAAAATTTCTCATTACAAGGTAACATTCAGACACACAATGAATCTTTAATTTTCATTATCATGCATATTTATCATATTATGGATACATATTCATATTTAATTACCCTATTATATATTACTACTAAATGGCATTTCATGGTCACGAATAAAATGTGATAGGTGATCCTAGTTCAAGTTCGATATCTTATTGCCAATTAAAGACGTCTATTACATGCACACTACTATACTTCGTCATAAAAGTAGTAGTTTCAAGACTGTCGGTCTGCTCTTCGTCTTTGTTTTTCTCCTTTCCAAATAAATGTCTGTTATTTGACTTTTTTTATTGACCCTTTTGTATCTGCTTATATACCAATAATAAAATGTAATGCAATTTTAACCTTGATACATGTAGTTTATTTGGTCATCATTTCCCCCCTAAAAATTATCAGTCATACCACAATATGAATAACATGAGCTTTATTTAACTTCTCATTCTGATTTTTCGGTATCATAAAGCTATTTTCAATTTTTTTCAACTGATCAGGTGGAGCTTGACTTTATATTTGCATAAGGAAAGTCTATTCCAAGATGTGCGTGATACGAAGGGTTGCCGTTATGATCCTTATTACTATTTTTTTTTTATCACCTATCAGTGTCATCAAATAGCAATACAAAAAAACCGGGTGTATGATATGGGACGAATAAAATAGCTTAAAATTTATAAACATTTGTATATGTTATAGCTTAAGTGCTTTAAAGTTTCGGATATTGCATTTTTCTGTTTAAAAAAAAAAATGTATTTTCCATTATATGCATCCCCCCCCCCCCCCCAAAAAAAAAATAAAAGAAAACGAATCATCACTTAGGAATAAGAAGAATTAAAGTTTATTTAAACTGTATAGGATAACGACACGAATTTGCATATTTGCCAACGGCTGTTGTCATAGTTATACTGACTAAGTTTCATATTTTCCCCAATTCCTACGACAATGTTTCAATGTCTTGAACCGTTTGAATTTCCGTTTTACAAGAAAACAACTACTTTTTAAATTCTTTACTTTGCGAATACAAATATAGTGTTTAAATATTTTAACCGGATGAATAACAATAGCTGGACACTTCGTTGATGAGTTTATCCCAAAACACCTCTCCCGTAGATAAACTGATCTATGATAAACGAACCGATTATGCTCCTCCAAGTCACATGAAATAAATGTAATACACTTTAGTAGCATAAGGATGATTGTCAAGGGTCAAGAAAAAGCATCACTCGACTTTAAAAAAAACTGTATTTTGTATATGGTCTAGTCAGCTGAGTGGTCTTGGTTGCTGGACAAAGTGTAGAGGAGAGGCGAAAGATACCAAAGGGACATTCAAACTCATAAGTCATAGGTGGCGTTGCTTTTATTTTTCATCAGCTTGAGCTCGAATAAATTTCATTTGATAAATTTCAAACATTTTTAATCTCCACTGAAATTTATAATTTCAGCAGCATTTGACATTCTAGAAGTTAATTTTCTTTGTAGTTTGATATTGTAAAAACACGCCATAACACGATAAACCCTGATTTTAATGATAATTATGGCTTGCAGATGACTGCTAGTTATATAACTCAAAGCTTATGTGCTCCAACCGTATGTCATATGTAATCAGATGAAAAGGGTTTTTTGATAAGTTCTTTTGCATAAGGCATATTGATTAGTTTCACCTTAAAATCTTTGATAAATATACGTTAATTCTAGTGTTTTTCTCTTTTTCCATGACATTACAATTATTTGCTTTAATGGTTGACTGTGGTAATGCGCTATAAATTACACCAGAAACACATGATATATAACAGATTTGGTAACTTTTAGACATTTAAACATATCTTTATGATACATACAAAAAAAGATAGAATTAAAGACACTTAAATGTACTTAATTAGTATTACATAATATATATAATGAACTACAAAAATAACCATATGATTTGCCCTTTTGAGTGATTTTAGTATGTAATTCAAATAGATGGCAAATTTCTAAAGGAAATATTCCTTTTCCATTAGTTGAATTTTAAGTAAAGTAACATAATGAGATAAAGAAGTGTTTGGAAAATCAATTTCTGTCATATTTCACAGTTTATTTATGACTGCTTTTGCTTTTGTTGTAAATAGACAAGACCTTTAAAGCAGTTTAATAGCAGTAACTTAATATAGACTATATATTCTCTTTGCAGCTGCCATGTATCCATTTAAATACAGGTGAGTTTTTGCAAAAGTGTTATTATAGATATCTGGTTCGCCTTTTAACAAAGGAAATAATCAAAAATAATGATGGTTATTACTGACCTATCAGATGCATAAAAAGGGTTTAAATGATAAACTTGTTGATATCAGCTGCACTGCACGCCCAAAACACTTGCTGAACAGTACACATCAGAGCATCTGTGTCGAAAAATATCATGCTTGGTAGGATTGTTTGTCATTATGTAATTGTGTAAAATGTGTTCATGCTTCATCGCGGTCGTAATTAATGCTGCTGTTCAGCCCTCTCCTCACACCATTAGTATGCACAACAAGAAATTAAAGCATCAAGGGACTAGTCACGGCCGAGTAGTAATCTTGTAGTTTTTGTTTGATTATGTAAAACAAAATCTGTCTGATCATTTTATAGTCCGGGGCAAATGTTAAGGGCTATGAGTTCAATATAGATACCAGTATTGAGATTTAGTTTTCCAGACTCGCGTTTCGTCTCAATAAAACTCATTCGTGGGGCTTGAGTCAAAAAACAATTAAAAGGCCAATTCAATTAAGAATTTGAAGCGTATTTAAATGATAAAATTGCCAGTTTATAAAAATTCTCTTGTATTTGTTCGTCTATCACACTTGTGTTTAAAAAAATTCAAGTAAAATTTTCAATTTTTTCACAACTTCATTTAGAAGAAAATATTAATTTTTTTAGTCTTTAGAAAAATATGAGGAATGATAATTGGGACCCCATGAAATCTACCTCTAGTTTCATGGTTTATTTTTCTTACTTAAATTATGTTTTTATTTTTCACTCTTTGTATTAGGAATAACAGTACATGTATTGTATAATACTGGCTTAGAGTGTGGTAGTTCAGGTGTTCAATCGCCGGTCGGGTCACATCACTCTTTCTTTGCTGCATTCCCAATATGTTAACTCCATTTAGAGTAACGAATAAAACAGGTCCTGTCTGGGTTCTTCACTAGATAACGCGTTAAAATTAAACTCAGCATCATTATTGAGTAAAACCAGGGTTCATTTTTATACACATTTAAATGATTGTCCTTCATATTATTAAGGCATTAAATGCTCGAGATATAGTATTTATTGGTTCATCCATTAAGGTATAAGGAATCTTGTCCGAGTGCAAAGAAGGTAACTTTAAGCATTATCTTCCAATTTACTTGTACAACGGAAAAGTTGTACAAGAAGGATCGATGCATAAGGATCGGTGCATGTTTTTCTTAATTTGAAGTAACTTTCTTTTTGTATTTTGTTCCATATCAGTACTCTTTTAGGCTAAGTCAATTATATTTTTTATTAATTTCAGATTTTGACATATCTCGTAGCATGCGTATGATTACAGTTTACCTAACGAATGACGAATTGAATGAAATTGACAAATCTTTTAAACCTAGTGACAGGCATAATCACCCTTCAAAATTTGTATGGCATGAAAGTATGGTACACAAAACAAACGTACCTAAAACTAAACTGGCTCCAAGTCCTTATAAAGTAGTAATGGAGAGTATTCCAGAAAAAGAAACTTTAGACTCGTACATTCATTCTGTAGAAAATAAAGATGATAGATTAAATTCAAATATTATAGTGTGGAAAACACACGACGAGCAATCCGAATCTTCTGATGAATCTCGTAGACGTTCTGTAATTGGAAAGGAAGATATTATTGAAACTATAAGCGATCTAGAAGATGGAGATCACGGGAGTATCCATCGCAATGAACGTATAGAAAAAAGTATTTATGAAAAACCTGAACATACCGTTGATATTCTGGATGGTCATGTTGTAATGAAATCTCAAGTTATTCATAGTGATAGTTCAATTAATAAAGCAACTGACAATAAAATAATTGTTGAAGCCACGATACATGATATTGGGGTTCATGATAATGATAATGGTGGGCATTTGGAATGTAACTTTAACGAAAATGGATCTTTCCAGAAATCGGCAGTGCATGAGGAAATAGCTGAAGACAATTTGCGAATGGACTATAATAAAACAGACAATAACCGGACTCTAGGAAACATCAATCAAGCTAGCTTAGCTGAACAACAAAATCAAAATATATCTAAACCAAGAACATTAACTGATGAGAATGACACCCTACACCTTCAGGGAACCTCAGAGGAGGATAATATAGGATTTTTGAATAATCAAGATGTTAAAGTGGATTGTTTATATGAATGTTCATGCGGCTGTGTGACTGTTCAGAATAATTCAGATTCACATGTCAATTTAGTAAAGTTCAATACATTTACAAATACGCACAATGTTCCAAAAGGAAATAAAACTCATTTCAAACAAGATGACGATGAAAGTAAAACAAATAGTTCTAGAAATGATGGACAGAACATTAAAGTAAATGATATAAACTATGATGAAGTATTTATAGATCCAGAGCAAACAGGTGATACAGAAAATGCAAATTATAAGTTCGACCTAAACTTAAGATTAAAAAAGCAACACACTAAGAATGAAAATTCTAGTTTCTCTTCGAGAGTTTCATCTGACGGTGAAGTAGGATTATCCAAGTCAGGGTTTGATAATGCTTCTGAAGGTTCCGGAAGTAAAGAGGAAACGGATGGGTCATTTTCCGATATTGCTTCTTTATCAACAAGCAGACGAAAGGAACGATTTGATTTTCAATCGTCGGCTGACGAATCCTCATCTGAATATAGTTTATTTTCAAAACGACCAAGCTTTGATAGAAAAATGAGATATTTAGGCGACATTGACTCCATGCCCAATTCCTTACAAAGTACTTTGCAGAACTCTGGCTCGTCATCTCTCCAGTCAAGCATTACCCTGCGTTCACAAGGACTAGAGGATGAATCAGATACTAATCAGTTATGGACACCCCAACAGGATAATTTATACCAGATGACCCTTTATATCCAGGGCCAAGCTGCAAATCAGTCTAGCGAGACCTCAATGATACTTCTGCTGGAAAATGATATCTCCAGAGATAAATCTGTTGTACATTCTTTGGTGAGTATTAAAAAGCAGTTTTGAATTTGAATATTTAATATAGTTTACCGCTAAGTTGTCCATCTCTACAAATTTCAATACCTGCAATCAGTATTTATATTACACACTTCACATATAGTTTCATTGGCAAAGCAATAGAATATTTCAATCTTTAAAATCTCTTAAGGGAGTTGTTGATGACAGATCTTTACAGTCTCAGAATAATGTGTTCGGGTAGGGTGAAAATCCTGTGGACTGTTACCTTGTGTACTAGCACGTTATAAAAATCCAGCTCAATGGTCGTTCTAGTGCAAAGCAGGTTTGATATTAATATTACATATACATGTCCTAAATATGCATTTAATTGTATCTGGACGTTAAACAGCCAACATCGTCATCAGGCAAAAATGTCCAGCATGAATAACTATGCAAGGTTTAGATATTTGCCAGATCACAGTTTAGTGCTGATTCCGTAAATGCGCATTCTACTGATTTAATCCCAGTGGTAGATATTCTGATAAGTGCCATATAAAATCTCTACTTACAATAAGATATAATAGCACTCCAACAGCATAAATGATTGTATATGTATGCTTTCATTTACACACCTGTAATGTTGAACTTTATTATGAAATTCCAATTTTATTATGAAAGTATGAAGCTTTTGTTAGCACGAATACATAATTTGTGTAGTTTCATTTCGATAACTGCTAAAAGATAATTGTAGTTTCCAGGTAACTTTCTCTTTTGCCATTGGGAGAGATTTTCGTTTAAAGCTAAGTAGCTTAAAACTTTTATCTTACTTGATATTTAAACATCCAACATTCATGTATTTAGTTATGATGTTTCTTTTGTAAGTCTGGTTAGATATTGTGTTATGTCTTATCGATTGTGGTTTGAATTCTATTTTTTTTTCCATATGTATGTATAAGTTGAGATAATTAATCAGATAGTTCATTTATATGTTTTTAAGTTTAAAGCAACTATATGCACAGAATTTATTTGTTTTTACACAGTTTTGATTTAGAAGAAAAACTGACATGGTTAGAAAATTTATATAATTACACCATTACAAACACAATTTTATATTAATATTCTTGTAATGGTTAGAAAATACATAAAATATCACCATAACAAACTCAATCCCAATTTTATATTCTGTTTTTAGAAATTTACCTGTGATGAAATAAACGTCACAAAAAATACGTCACGTTTTTGGCGTTGATACATTCGTGTGACGCATAGTTCTGAATTCTATTGTGGTGCACTGGTGTACTGTCTTAAATTTATGGGAGATGGTGTCCGTTGTTATTCTGTGGTTTACATGTTATAATGTACCATTATATTATTTATTTATGAATTTCTCTATCCTGAGTGTTCTTGCGTGTATTTGTACTGTATTCTTGTCACGTAATGTTGTCATTTTAGCGGTATTTTTAACATTACCATATAAGCGGGAGGTTTGGCTAGCCATAAGACCAGGTTCAACCCACCATATTTTCTTAAAATGTCTTCTACCAAGTCAGGAGTATGGCAGTTGTTATCAAATAGTCTGTGTTTATGTATGTTGGCGTTTGTTTTTGTAGCAGTTCAGTGTTTCTGTTGTTCCGTTGTTTTCCTCTTATAGTTGATGTGTTTCCCTCGGTTTTGGTTTTTGACCCGGATTTGTTTTCACTTAATCGATTTATGACTATTGAACAGCGGAATAATACTATTGCCTTTATTTGACTCAATTGATATACTACCTTTTCATTGTATGTAACGATAAAATATAATTATGTGTGATATGAATACAGATTAATTAAGTTTTACAAAGTTATAATTGAAAGTCCTGGTTGAAGCTTTCGTTTTAATTTTAATGACTTAACTGCCTGTCAACTATACAATAAAAAATGGCCATCAAATGTTGATATTTTCAATGTTATTATTGTTAAAAACTACCAGGAAAATCGAATTTTGAAGAAGGACAAACAAAAACATGGTCATAAATCAACTGGGACAGCAGTACAAGAGCACAACAAAAAGACAACTGTAAATATAAATAAGAGGTGGTTGATTGATTCATCGATTGTTGATGCTTGACGCCACCTTAGCACTCTTGGCTATACCATGGCAGCCAGTTTTTATTGGCGGCGGAAGCCAGAGTACACCTAGAGAACCAACGACCGTCGACACAAACAAAGCAATTCTATTAAAATATGATCTGTCTAGAACGAGCATAATTCGAACTCAAAACCTCGGTGTTTAAAGACTAGTGATCACTGTAATAATAAGGTCTAATTACAGGGTTAAATTAAAAAGGGAAGTTTTGTCAATGGTTCAATACTTGTATATCCATTTTCATAATTCAATAGGCAATAAAACTGTATTTGTTTATCATAGAAATTCAGATCAGGTTTCTGTAGTGTAATTTACTAAAAAAAAAATCTTCTTGACAAATAGATTTTTTTTAAGTTAGACATATGTTTTGCAATAAAGTATTTACCTTTAATATACACTGTTTGTTTGTAAGTGAATTTTTTTTTGTCTCGCCTATCGACGAAACTCGCAGAATGCAAGACAGACATAGGTATTACTATACGGCATGAATGCTTCATGCCTTGTATATAGAGGCCTTTGTTTCAAAGTTTCTTTCTTTCATATGCCCATTGTCCTTGAACTCATTTTCATGGTTCAGCGACTGCTTGAAAAAATGCTTAGTTTTTTTGTCATATGAAATACTCACTTATTATGAGTAATAGGATAACTGCATTTGGTATATTGTATTTTTGCAAGGTGTACATGTCAGAAAGGGTTGATCTGACCTCGACCTCATTTCATGAATCAGTATTAAGGTTACTATTTCATGGTCAATCGCGTATCTCAGATACGTTTGTGATATTAGCAATAGGTCAACTATATTTGGTGTACGGACACGTCCGACTGACGGTTTCATCTGCCCTTGACCTCATTTTAAAAGTTCATTGGTGAACGACAATGTTAATTTTGTTGTCTTGTCTATTTCTCAGACACTTTGAGTATTAGGGTAGCTGTATTTGGCGGATGGAATGATCGTGAGGTGTTCATGTTTGTGATATGACCTTTACCTTATTTCCATGGTTTATTGGTCAATGTTAAGTTTTCATGGTTTTTTCAGTTTGTCAGATACTATAAGCAGTAGATCAACTATATTTGGTGTATGAAATTATTGCATGGTGTATATGATCTCTTGAAGGTTCAAATGACTGTGACTATTATTATGGTTCATTTGTCAACATTCAGGTTTTCGTAAAAAGGTATGTTTCTCAGATGCTATAAGCAATAAGCTATCTTTATTTGATGTATGGTATGATTTTAAGTAAATGTCTGTCTGATAGGGTTCATCTGACCTTGAATTCGGTTACATGTTTCATTGATAATGTTTAGTTTGTGATACGTGTAGGAAAACCTTCATATTACATATTACTTGCAACATAAGTTCAATCATGATAAGTCAAGCAGGCGAGACATTGCAGCGTGTGAACTCTTGGATAATGCATTTTTATCACCAGAAATATTGATAAACACAACCTGATGTTTTTCTGCATACGAGAATCATTTTGTAATTTGCTGTGTAATTAATTTTCTCATGTATACAATCTTTATAATAGTACTTTCAGCCATTAATTTTGTATGTGATTTTTAATTTAAAACGTACCATTGAAGAATAATAATTATTTTTAACCCTTTGTGAGCCTTTGACATTTTTGTACTGGTCATGTAGATTTAGATTACGTTACATAGTAACGTTCGTATTGATTTACGTTATTGAGGTTCCAATAGGAGGTAAGAAAACGTCTTATAGACTCTTGCTGTTTTTTGGAATATGTACTGACATCTTTGTTAAGTTATTTAATCACAAAATTAGTCAAACAAATTTATATTCTGTAATATACATGTATATGTATACTGTTTTAACATATTTACATCGTTAAATTTCGTTGCAATATCATCCTAAGAATAATTTTACACATTAAAGTGTTACGAATTGAATATTATGATTTTCAACCTGACCTTTATACAGTGGGGGAGTCAATGAATTCTACCTTTTAAATCGTGTTATATTCGAGTTGAATTATCAGATTCAAAGAGAGCAACAATCCAATATCCTGGTGAATTCTTGGGTGTATAATGGCCCAATTCAGAAAAAAAAAAATACTCAAATTGACATCCATTTTGTGTTTCTTCAACTTAATCAAGGTTTACTTTTGACTTCACCTCTCTCATATTAAGTGACATGCAGTCATATAACTCGTTGTAATGATGTAACTCTAGAATATATTTCATTGATCATTAATTTACATTCAACTTTATATCCGTGCATGCCAAACTAACTTAGCGAACTTCCTGTAAATAGTAATATTTAACAAAAGTAGGTAACTCTGAAGTATACCTCTAGCCTTACTGACTTTTTTACATATGCCTTTTCTGCTTTAAATTTGCTAATTTTCAGCCCACTGACTGAATGAGTTTTACATATCTTTCGGTTCTCCATCTATGATAACCTATGTATTTGGATGCATTTATGGTCATAATGAATAACATTCCAATCCTTTTTTCGCATTTACGCTACATTTTGCTTCCATAGGCATTCTAAGGATTATGTCAGGCTTATAGATCGAGTTTGCAGATAGAGTCGGAAATTTTCAACTTAGCTAACTATTTATGTTTACCTATTGAATTCTTTATGTCCGTAGTATGTTATATATACTTTTCTTATAGTCGTATTTGCATTATTGCATTTTGTTTTTCGTAAAATGAAACCTAACATAATTTCCATTAATCATATACCAAAGGTTGTTTGATTTCAGTGGAAAGATGCTTTACCTCAGTTGGCTGATCTAGATTTTTATGTCAAAGAAAGTGTAGAACAACATCTTGATGAGGTAATTTTTCATTTAGTTCATTAATCATTCATTTAATTTGAGTAGTCATTTGGTTTGCTTTTATTTCACATTCATAAACTTCATGTATAAAAGAATGAGTAATTTGTCTTTATGTTCCAAACATTCAAGGATTTGTTCGTGTTTGAACTTACTAGATGAGACAAAAATGTATTGATGACAGTTTAAGTCTACTGATAATGGCATTAGCATGTTTATGCCCCACTGCTAGGCGAAGGAGGCATTAAGGGTAACCCTTGCCCGTCTGTACGTCCCTCCGTACGTACGTCCCGAAGTTTGTTTTGGTTCTCTTGCTTTACTTTGCTTCAACCAAATGTTATGAAACTTATACGCAATGCTTATCCATTCGTTTGATGTGTTTGAGCTCTTGCTTTTGCCATTTGATTAGGGACTTTCCGTTTTGAATTTTCCTCGGAGTTCGGTACTTTTTTTATTTTACTTCTTACCACCACCTACATATCAAGCCCGACTTTGGGTGGCTTCACTTTCAGCGTTCGAGTTATATTCCTTTATAAAGGGTAAAATTGCTGAATTTGCCGTATATTTACAAGCGGAGACAACTATGTCCCATGAACACATTTTTTAAAATGTTTATTTGCTCAAGTCATACCAGATTGTAATAACATATTGGTTCACTATCGATGTTGAAAGAGCCAGTTGGACTATCCTCATCATCGTAATGTAGTTTTTATGCAAGGCTTTGTTAATAGATTCTATATGTTAGCAAAAATTTCACGTCTTAAATATAATACACAAATGTGCATAATAGTGCATAGCAGGATCATCATGATGTTCTACTTATCCCTTTTGGAGGTCTTCAAAAATATTGTGAAGGGGTGTACTCTACCAGTGGTGTCATTACATGTTGATTCTTAAAAAATCAAGATGATCTAAAATTTCTTTCATCACAATCGAATAAAGCTTGCATCAACATCAACAGGTTCGAGCTTTCTACTATCTACAGAACTAAAATTTGGTTTGAAATGAAATCCTTTCTTCATCTTTTCATTTAACAGAGTTTTAATTATAAGCTAGAATGGAAAACGCAGGTATAAGTTGTTTTTCAAGGTCGAATGTTTGGAAACATTGATTTTAATAACATGACTAATAAATATACAGAATTGAATCTTGCTGAAGGTTTTGAAGAACAGCATACTTGCTGAGTGTGATTGAATTATGTTTTAACAAACGGTCTTATAATGGGAACCAATTGTGTGTCACTGTTAGGGACGTTTTTCCATATATTGGGCATGTATAACATTTCATCGCATAGAGAACTACAAATAAGAGCTTACTGAAACTTGTTATCAGGCTTCATGTTAGTATGCTACACCATGTAATGCATTTCCAGATGCTTTGCTCATCAACTTCCTTTTTACCGATTACTTTTATATTCTAACATATAATGGTCATGTATGATATTTTCGTTGCATTTTTCTAGCATGTCTAGGGAGCTAAAAATAAGAACTTCCTGAAATTTGTTTTCATGCATCATGTCAACATGCTATACCGTGTAATGCGCTTTCAGATTTATCGCTCATTAACTTCTTGTTTACCGAATACTCATATATTCTAACACATAATGGCCAAGTATGAAATTTTCGTCGCATTTTATAGTATTTATTTGTATTGTGGTCCTGTCATGTGATGTTGTCGTTTTGGTGTTGTGTTTGACGTTGCCATTAAAGCGGGAGGTTTGGCATGCCACAAAACCAGGTTCAACCCACCATTTTTTTCTTAAAATGTCCTGTACCAAGTCAGGAAAATGGCCATTGTTATATTATAGTACATTTCTGTGTGTGTTACATTTTAATGTTGTGTTTTTGTTGTGTCGTTGGTCTCCTCTTATATTTGATGCGTTTCTCTCAGTTTTAGTTTGTAACACGGTTTTTTTTTCATCTCTATCGATTTATGAGTTTCGAACAGCGGTATACATGTACTACTGTTGCCTTTTTTTTTATAGGGAACAACAAATAAGAGCTTCCTGAAATTGATGTGGGGCTTCTAGCTATACGCATACGTGTGATGCGTTTTCAGATCATGGCTCATAAACTAACTTCCTGTTTATCGCATTTTTAAGGCGCTGGCATCATTAGTGAGCAATAGTTCATAGTTTTACTTGTTTCGATGAGTTTTACATTCCCCATGTCAAAGTTAAAGGCAGTTTCTTGGGAGTTTTTTTAGCCTTCCCAGTTCAGAGATTTAGCAGTATCTGATGCTTGGCAGTTGTTTACCTTCCAAAATTAACCAGTTTCTTCATATACAAAAATTAGCAGTTTTTTTAAACCTTCACAGTTATTCTGGCAGTTCAAAGCAGTTCCTTAGCTGTTTTAGGCAGTTCGTTAGCAGTTTTTTTGACGAAATATTTAAATTAGGTACAAAAAACTGCTTTCAGTTCATGAATATTCATATTTAACTGCTTCAGGTTAAATAATATTCATATTTAACTGCTTCAGGTTGATAAATATTCATATAAAACTGGGAAATAACTGCTAAGGAAATGTTAATATGGTCATGATCTTATGAATTATTCATACTAATAGCTGTTAAAAAGTAACATAATAACATGTAATAATTATCAAAAACAAAAATATATCTTCTAAACAAGTTTATTGTTGTTATCCAACTTCATGGTTAATATGTGTAGCTTTTATGTATTACATATATTGATGTCAGAAAACCAGGGTGCAACATGTAATCTTTCAAGTCATCTGAAATAAGGGAAATGGAAATCAAGATTCATGCAATCTTATATACAATATGATATACATGAAATCAATTATTTGTTATATTACCTGATTAGTAAGAAGACTCTTAAATATTAATATGATTAAGCCTTAGTATATTTGTAAGCTGAATCAATTTTATTCTGATATAACCTTAAATACATGACACGTAAACCAGCTTGACTGTCACAACGAGGAGCAAAAATAAGAATTAAGCTATAGATATATATATATCATACTTGTCATTATTGTTTTGTTATGTTGAATAAAACATCGAAAGTACAATTTCAAAAAAATTCACACAATTAATATGATTATAATCTTAAAAAATCTTCAAAAATTGCCATTGAGACAATTAAGGCCCATCTTCAGTATTAAATGTGAAAAGAACTATTTCCAAGTATACATTATATCCAATGTAAAATTTTCATTTTGTTCACGTAAGAAGATCGACACATCTTTTCTTGTTGTCTTCCTGTGTATTCAATATTCAAATTTTTATCATATTGCAATACATGGGGATGTTTAAGGAGTTGTTTGATTCTGTTGAAGTATTCCCTTAAAAAATACCAGCAAATAATTGCCTAAATCTTTAAAATGTGATATATATATATATATATATAATATTAAGAAAAAAATATCCATTTTTGTTTAAATAAGATATTTTTATTAAAATTGGTAGTAATTGCTGAACAATATATTAAGATAGTTGTTTTTCCTCATGTGTCCTCAATTTCTGAGTAGATAGTACTTCCTGTTTCCACCACAGAGAGGTCAATTGTAAACAGATGGCACATTTCTATAAGACCAGTTTTATCTAAATCACATTAATACTGTTTGATGCAACTGCGAAGAAATAATTTACAAATCAAACTGCTATATAAAAATAACTGCCAAGCTTAGCTGGAGAACAATTATAACCTTCATCAAACTGCTTTGAAATATTTAAACTGCTTAAATTAAGAGTTATCTTTTACTTGTAGGCAGTTATTTTAAGCTGCCTAAATCAAAACTGCTTTAAACTGCTCCAAAACTGCTAAAAATTCAAGATACTGCTATAAAACTGCCAATGACCTGCTTAAATAGGCAGTTCACTTTGACTCGGGTCGTCTCCCTATTTTAGCTTGCTATTATTGATATTAAATAAAAAAAGGGACGTACTTTATTTTTAGGTCTGGTTTTTGAAATTTGTTCAGATGGAGAACTTAAAACAATGATCCATGACAACCGAGATTACTTCAGTTTTCCCTTACCATTTTTGAGTAGTTAAAGCCATCAACCCAAACCTTTGTTGTTACCTATTTAAGTTGATACGGCCTCATTATTGCAATTTCACTAACAGATGTGAAGTCCGAACACAAAAAATAATATAGCAAGGGTATGAGGAAGAACGACTAAAATTTGGTTCACTTGTCTTATGGTCGCAGGAATTGGTTGGTCGTAATAGTGTCAGTTTTGTAATTTCTAATGATTTTTTAATTGTAATAGACCATACGTGTCCCCCTTCACTCCATCTGATATAATTACCGGTCCTGTCATCTTCCTATCACTGACCCTTATAACGGTATATTACTTTGGAATCATATAACGAGTGTTGTTTGTACAGCAGGAAATGCTTACCTTGTCTACACGCCAAGTCTCTATCCATCATGATTGTGGTTGTTTTTATTCCAATGTTTGTTTGTTTGTTGATACTTCCATTTATGGTATATTAACCGGACAATAGTTTACTATCTTTATATATTAATGGCTATGATCCTGTTACGTGATTAGAACACTAATCTATAACACAATAGTTTTTCACCATTACGTTTCTATTTGATCAGAGAGGCGATCTTTATCATTATTAATGAAGTTTATTCCGGAAACAAGTGTTGTCTTGGTGGAAATAGGTATCCTACATTAATTTTGTTTATATTATTAATATCCTGCTGGGTTGAATATTCTCTGCATTTTTCAGGGTTTTATGGAAACAACAAGCTTTTTGAAATATGATACATTGTCTAATCGGATTGAAGGTATGAGTGTAAAGTAAATAAGCATGATAGAAATAGCAATGAGAATTTAATATAATATGAGAACTTCTCTCAACTCTATACAGATTAAATCTTCTTTTAAAGAATAATTTTCAGTTTGAAATCGGATCAATGACATTAAACAGTATCGATTTTCTGCATTGAGATGTGTATTTTTACAAGAAATATCTCTTCGACTATGCTCATGGCCAAGATCTTTGAAAATCAAGATCATAATAACAAATAGAAAATGTATAGTTGCTCACTCTTTAATTTAATGTGTGATGATTTGTGAACTTTTGTTTGTTCTTTTTTCATGATGCTTAGATGTTGTCTGTTTTTCGTCTATTGATGAATTTTATTGCATCTTTTGTATGTCTGACTTTTCAAACGGCTTTGAATAAACTTAATACCATAAACATTCACACAAATATAGCAGAAAGACAAATACTGGTTCATGACGTAAGGTAAAATTACATATCGAAATGATTCGACCCAGTTGTAAATAAACTAACCATAGATACCAGGATTCAAATGTTTTTACGCCAGACGCTCGTTTTGTCTACAAAAAACAGCGTAAAGGGCCCAATTTCCAAAAGGTTTTGCCAAATACGACTAAGTTAATCTATCCCGAGGGTAGAGAATCCTAAGTTTTTCGACAAAAAGTCTAAGTTTTGTAAACAGTTAATTTATAATTATGACCATATCAATGATAATTCAGGTCAACACAGAAGTACTGACTACTGGGCTGGTGGTACCCGTGAGGAAAACAGTGTGCATGCATCCATCTTTCTCTTTGTCAACCTGTAAGATATGTGCAAACACATTGTAAATTAATTCTACATATTTGTCTGAATGACATATTTCTTAACAGGCAATGAACTTGATGTTCCTGTAAATGAAGATTTTCAGAAGTTAGCAGGAGAAGTCCACAAAGATTACCAAGAGAATAAAGACCTCAGTAGTATAGCTCTGACGTAAGGATTTTTTTTATATAAGAAAAATACCCCCAAAAATGCATACAGTATTTAGTACTGAATATATTAACAGTATATTTGAAATCTATTGGTGTTTTTATAATTTGTACATTAGTTGACAATATGCAATAACATTATAATGTAAGTACAAAAAGGAATTAACAAAAATACCGAACTCCAAGGTAAGTTTTAAAAGAGGGATGTCCATAAACTTTGACAAAACCAAATCTACATTATCAACGAACGAAATGAATGGAAAACAAAAGTCATATTCTTGACTTGGAACAGGCCTTTTTCTAATGAAAACTGCTAGTTAATTGTTTAATTCGAAGTAGGCCCATTGTTGCTTTTCTTTGACAAACTTTGGAAACTGCATATAAATAGTACTTTCTGGTAGATATTCAATATAAAAGCATCTTTTTTTCGGTGGAATGTGATGTTTGTGGTTGATGTGGTTGGTTGTACTGTTGAAAATGTTGTTTAGTTTCTTTTATCCTTTTTATTTTTTTTTTTATCGGACATAATTGCTTATTACGATGATATTACTTTATTTTTCTAAATTGAATCAAAATTGTCCGCCCTGCCAGCATAACCTAGTGTATAACACAAATACATGTCAATTAGCATTTACACTGCGATGGTCTTCTTTCCTTTCCTGTTTAACCCAGTCTCTCGGTATTTGGCTGGGTTTGTCTTGCTGAATTTTAGTTTTTGCACATAATGTTTTTTGACTGCTGTTTTTTTTTCTCTTATGAACATAATACACAATAACAGTAAATTCATTGGAAAGAAGAGTGAATAATAAATCTAAGTGTAAATAGTTTGTCAAAATTATTTTATTTTGGAGAGTTTGTTTTTGAATAGAAAAGCACACACAGATTACAAATATAATAAAAAACTTAAAAAGACAAAATTATAATATTTTTGTTGCCATTGCTTCATGATACGAATATTTTTATTTTTCAGTAGCCACCTTTGTAGCTGCAATAGCAGTAGAGATATAACAAATGAACTCTATTATCATGTAGATGGACAAACTTCCAATAGATAGAATGATTATCCTTATCCATGTCAGCATAGTCTGTGATATTTTAATAAATTAAATACCAAAAACTACATTTTGTGGTATCTGATTATCTCATTTGAGTAGATCAAAGATAAAAGGCCAGTTAAGAGATAATATGCAGAAAACACACATTCATAAGGAAAAATAATTTACAGTAAAATATTTAAAAGTAAAGATATATGATAAAAAAAAACATGCTAGAAAATTAGATGAGAGCTTATAGCTCCTCAGATCTTGTAACTAGACAAGATTTTAGAATACTTATAAGCATGTCAGGTTATTTACATATATTATCAGTAAAATAAAATCAAAATGATTTAATTTCAAAGAAAAATAAATTGCAAATTGCAATTGTAGGTTCAGATAACTCAAAAAGAACAATTAATACTATAAACTTCATATTGGCTCAAAAAGGACAAATATGCAAAAGTTGACAAATACAAAAAGACTTAAGTGGCCGTTCCTACTCATGAACTTCGTCAGTGGACATCATATGTCATATCTGAATGTTTTTTATTGCTTGGTGGAATTGGGTGTAGATGCAAGATCCTTGATAATTTCTTTAGTATAATTAATTTACAATTTTTGTAGACTTGGGCCTTTTAAGATCCTGACATATTATATAGACATCTGTCTGTTGTTCAAGGTTGTATACTGACCTTCAGATTAGTTTTATTTTTTTATATTTGTGTCCTAGTGTTGCTGTCTAATGACTGCTGCCGTACATCTTAATTTATTTATTTTAATAAGGACATATTTACAAAGAGAGTAAAAAACCAAACCATGAATGTCAATTGCAGTTTCTGAAGTGTCTTTCAGCATAGACCTGTTTGATTGGGTTGGACTGTTAAGTTATAGAATCACTGATTGGGGCCTGGCAAGAAAGAACATACAAGAAAGTAGTACATATTTTAAACAAAATAGTTCATATGCAAAGCTATAACTTTGTCAATAAGTAAAATATTTGGGTAATTTTGGTATCAAATGAAAGCTTAAGGACTTGGGATAACTGTAGAACTCTTGTTTTTAGTAATGAAAAAAATATATGGAATTATAATAGGAAGGCTCATTTACCCTATTGTTCAGATCAGAAGTACCTGTTTTTGTACTACCAAACTTCCGGGAACCAGTGCGCTCTAATATGCAATTAAAGGTGTGTTAAATATTTCAGTACAAGTCAGGATAAGTTGTAGTTTTGACATGAAATTACTGCCACTTTATTTGAACTTAACACAGAGCAGCCATTATTGCTTGAAATTGCAGAATTTAACAAAAAAAGCAATGGGACTATGAATTAATGGTTTTATTCCTTACGACAAAGACTTATCGGAATTCCAATGGGGACTAACTGTGCACCACTTATTGCGGACCTGTTTTTGTATTGTTATGAGTTATAATTTATGACTAAAATCAGCAAAGACCCATCGAAACAACATCTGATACAAAAATTTAACAATACTTTTAGATATTTGGATGATATATTGGCTCTCAATAATGACGACTTCAGTATGTATACTAAAGAAATTTATCCTGTTGAACTTACTTGAAATAAAGCTAATACTAACAATGACCACTGTCCTTTCCTCGATCTTGATATCTATATCATTAACGGGAAGCTTAATACAAAAATTTATGATAAAAGAGATGATTTTTCATTTCCTATCGTTAATTATCCATTTTTAGATGGTGACGTTCCCTTGTCAACATCTTATGGTGTTTATATATCTCAACTTGTACGATTCGCTCGTGTATGTAACAACGTATTAGATTTTAGCGAGAGAAATTTATGCATTACTGAAAAATTATTACACCAGGGTTTTCGATATCATAAACTAGTCAAAACATTTACTAAATTTTATCATCGGTATAAGGACATCATTCGTAAATATAACTCAACATGCAGACATCTTATACGTTCGGGTATTTCACATCCAATCTTTTATGGTAATATTCTTTACAAAGCACAAAAATGTCAGTATTCACCTCAAAAGCTAACAAAACCTTTAAACAGACTTATTAAGAAGGGATATAGTTACGATACTGTTGTCAAGTCATTAAAGATTGCATATTTTGGCTTTAATATTGATTTAATTATAGGGTCTTTGCATCGGAATTAAACACATTTATTCTAAAACCAGTTGTTGGCATGACACGGGTTATGTTCTTCTCATATATTTTATGACGGTATAATACTAAACCCCTAACAGGAGGGATTGTGCCTGATATTCATATGTGGTGAAGACATAATCTTTCAATCAGTTTAATTGAGGTCTGGAGCTGGCATGTCAGTAACTGCTAGTAGTCTGTTGTTATTTATGTATTATTGTCAGTTTGTTTATTTTCTTTTGTTTCTATTCTGACATTGGACTCGGACTTCTATACTGAGTTTTACTGTGCGTACTGTTGTGCGTTTGTTTTTTCTACATTGGCTAGAGGTATAGGGGAGGGTTGAGATCTCAAAAAACATGTTTAACCCCGCCGCATTTTTGCGCCTGTCCCAAGTCAGGAGCATCTGGCCTCTGTCAGTCTTGTATCATTTTTAATTTTATTTTCCTGTGTATAATTTGGAGTTTAGTATGACGTCCATTATCACTGAACTAGTATACATATTTGTTTAGGAGCCAGCTGAAGGACGCCTCCGGGTGCGGGAGTTTCTCGCTGCATTGAAGACCCATTGGTGGCCTTCGGCTGTTGTCTGCTCTATGGTCGGGTTGTTGTCTCTTTGACACATTCCCCATTTCCATTCTCAATTTTATTATTACTATTTATGCTTGTATATTTCCTTGCCAACTCCAGGAGATCTGTTACAGGCTATATACTATGTCCATCTCAAATGGAGAATTGAATCAATGATCTTATGCTAATGATCATTAACATAAGTAAACAATGTTCTGAGCTCTTTTGATTATGTGAGGTAAATCTGCAGCCATTTTATCATGGTATAGTTGAATAACCATGAATAATATTTTCGGTGAACAATGTTATAATTAAAAATATTTTGGAGTAAAAAGTTAGATTTAAAAAAAAATTCAGACAGTATGAAGAAGAAAAACATTCATACTGTTCTGCAGGGATGCAGTTGCCTGTGATGACTTACACAACTATGTACTCGTGGTTTAATTGTTGTTTGCTTAACGTGGTTCTTCAACCTCGTGCTTTATTTGGCCCTTTTTTTACTTTTTTGATTCGTACGTCACTGATGGATCATTTGAAGACGAAAGGCACGTCTGGCGTACAAAATTTTAATGCTAGTATCTATGATGAGTTTATTTACAATTGGTTTGTAGCATTAATGTACGTACGGTATTGATGTAAGCAATGCCTCACTTATTTAGAAACACATGTATCGACTTTCTCGTTGACAGTTCAATTTATAGGGACAGACAATATATTCATATATATACATAATTACTCTAAATATCAGCACAACAATGTTAAATCTGCAAATTTGCGGAAGCAAATTTTTGTTCTTCCATAGCCGGGATTCGAACTCATGCTAATGAGATATTGAGACAACACCGCCTGCACTGTGTCCAGCGCTCTAGACCACTCGGCCACCTAGACTGAACTTCAAATTCAGCTATCGGTGGCCGAGTGTTACCTTTCCTCGTCAGTAGAATCCAGAGTTGTAGCACAGTACATGATATATTAGGCAGATAGATGGAATTGATTGCAGATTAGCTAAACTATCTATCATAAAGGATCGTAAGATACAGTCACAGAAATAATTATTTTATAAGTACGTCTAAACAAGTGACAACTCTACGATATATATATATATATATTACAAGGTAAGTCTTAGAATAGTGCATGGTAGTCTCCCTTTTCTTTTTTGCCTAAGTCATATTTAAAATATTCTGTAATAACAGGTAAAAGGTTAAGTTTCAAGCGCAGAATGCTGTTTTATTTATATGATCGTAGATCGTAATGATAAGGGTAGGAATATTTATGTTCGCACTTTTGATTCATTGGTATACTTACAGGTAATCTTCATAAAGAGAGGTTGGACAGCTTTCCAAACACCTGATGCATGTCTTTTTATGGTAAAGGTTATCTTTTTGATGTAAAACTGTTCAAGCTTTACTTTTCAGAAATTAATGTGATAAAATATTAAGACTGCGTCAGGCGTACATAAACTTAGATAGGATCAATGTTGATCCTTTGAAATAGCGTATTCTCAAAAAAGACCAATTTAACACCGTAGTAAGGTCTTTTATGAGTAGCCGTTCGTGTCATTGGCGGTATTAACATACCGTATGAAATGTTCAACACGTTGGTTTTTACTTTCAACGCGTTGGTTTTCACTTTCAAGGCGTTGGTTTTTACTTCGGACTATTTGAGGTATCCCCGAGCCTTGTGCAGGATATCATGGTAGTTTTAAATATTTTTATAAAAATAAATAAACATTTTTGCGGACTACCGTAGGTATGCCCGAGCCTTGTGCATGATATCATGGTAGTTTTAAATATTTTTATAAAAATAGATAATAATTTTTGCGGACTACTTGAGGTATGCCCGAGCCTTGTGCAGGATATTTTTCTTAGTTTTAAATTTTCCCGAAATTCAATAAATTTATCGTTTGTTAATACATGTATGTTTGATAATCGTTTACATGCATTACCTTTCAGCTATTCTTATAGGTAAAATAATTTCTATAACATAATTTTGCTTTCTTATACTTTAAAACATTGACGTAGTTTTTGATTGTGATCTGTACATTTAAAGTTTGAATTATGCTACAGAATCAGTATTAGGTTATACATAAATTTGAGATTTGAATTAAACGCTACTTTGACTTGTATTCTCTACTAGATGTCCTTTGATCATAATTGGATTGATGAAGCCAGTAATCTAATTACAATAAACTGATATAATTAGATTAGTCTGGACAAGTTGAACATTTGGAACACTGGTCAGGTCAAGTTTTTTTCTAGTTTTTTTATTTGATAAAATGCATGATTCAATCTTAATGTTTTTATACATTAGAAGCAAATCCTATTACATATACATAGGTATATAGTCATTTTTCCTGGGCATGATAACGGTCAGG